ATCTTTTGCAAAAAGAATAGAAAACAGCCTCCATGGCCTCCCTGGTCCTACCTGGATCCTGGCCCTACTCTTACACCAGGATTTCCTGCTTTTCTCCCAACTTCTTTGTTTTATTTGTGAGCTTCTGTTATAGGTGCTGCAGCCAGGGGAGAAGTCAGCAGCAGCAGCAGCACCAGCAGCATATTTACTCCCATTATTAATTCAGCTTAAAATTTAGGACCAATGGAGAGGTGAGAAATTATTAAGGCAATTCTAAATTTTAAGAAAGACTAGAGAAAATGACTTTTTTAGTGTCAACAGTCTACTTTGTTAAACAAAGGTTTCATTAAAATATGTTCTCAGCAGTGTCCCTCAGGTTTACAGCTCTTCTCATTGTCGATTTTGGGAATGAGCAGGAGTGAGGGCGGCAGAATGACTGAGAAGGCAAGGAGAATGGACGGGAATGAAGGGAGCATGAGTCCTTGGATTGTTGAGCACAGCTGCTTCCATATATATTGAACCAAAACATCTACAAGGGCACTGAGCTAGCATCTCTCTCTCTCCCCCCTCCATTCTCTCCTCCAGCCTATGATGTAATTTACCTACCATGTGTATTTTGTGATTATCAACAAATGGACTACAAACAAGAGGTTAATAACAATAATAGAATAAAAACAATGAGATTGTCCTCATGTGTCCTAAATTTGACAACAACTCATAATGACCCTATGGACCTTGGACCTTGCCCTATCCCGAGCCAACCATAGCATCTCCAACACACTACTGTGTCAGTTCATATTGTCAAGGATCTTTCTCTCTTGCACCAGCCTTCTACTTTCCCATGCAAGATGACCTTTTCCAAGGACTATCCTCTCCTGACAACAGGTTCAAAGTGTGTGAGTTGGTTTCATCATTCTTTCTTTTAAGTAGTACCGTCTCCAGAAAAGACTGATTTGTTGCCTTGGCAGTCTATCATTTGTTCAATAAAAACAATAGAGGTGAGGGAATTTGAAAGCATTTGCTCAAATTTGTATTCAAATTTTGTGAATAAACTAGTAGAAAATGAAAAGAAAACAATAGAGGCAGTGCATTATGCTGTTGAAGCTGGAGAAATTATGGAACCCTCAACAACTCCTAGACAACTGACTAGAAGAGATCCATATCTATTCCCATTAAAAAAAAAAAAGGTAATCTGCTAGAGGGTAGAAATCACTGAACAATATCACTAATATCACAAGCAAGCAAAATCCTGATGAAGGTTATAAAAAAAATGACTGGAAAAGTACATCGGCAGAGAACTACCAGAAATACAAGCTGGATTTAGAAGACACTATGGCAATTACAGACATTATTATCAATGTCGGATGAATTTTGGCAGAAAGCGGAGAGTACCAGAGGAATATCTGTTTGTGTTTCATTGAATATTCAAAGGCATTTGACTGTGTGGATTTCAACAAATTTTGGCTAACCTTGAAAAAAAGAATAGGAATCCCAGGACACTTGATTGTGCTTGTGTGAAAAGTGTACTTGGATCAGAAAGCAGTCCCAGAATAGAGCAAGGAAATACTGTGTGGTTCAAAATAAAGAAAAGTGTGTGTCTTGTATGAGTCCTGTCTCTATAGTTTTTCAGTCTATATGCAGAACAGATCATTCGGGAGGCTGGGCTTTATGAGAAGGAATGTAGCATCAGGATTGGAGGAAGACTTATCAACAACCTACATTCTACACATGACACAATCAGGCTTGCCGAAACTGAGAAGGACCTTAAGCATTTGCTGCAGAAGGTTAAGGGCTGTAGTCTTCAAAATGGATTAAAGGTCACCATCATGAAGACAAAGATTCTTACCACACGACCAATTGGCAGCCCCATGATAGATGGAGAAGAGAGTGAGGTTGCTAGCAACATTCAGTAGTCTGGAAATCAAAAGATGAATTGCATTGGGGAAGTCTTCGGTCAGAGACCTCTCCAGGGTGCTAAAGAGCGATGATGTGAGTCTGGAGACTAAGGTACACCTAATCTAGGCCATGGTCTTCAAAATTACTTTCTGTGCAGCAGAGAGCTGGATAACTAAGGATGACGGAAGAAGAATGAATGCCTTTGACCTATGGTGTTGGAGAAGAGTTTTGAACATACCATGGACTGCCAAAAGAATAAACAGGTCTGTCTTGGAGAGGGTGAAACTGAGTTTCTCTTTGGAGACTAGGATTTTGAAGCTCTTTCTCACATACTTTGGGCAGTATACCCAGGAGGGACCAGTTATTGGAGAAGGACATCATGCTTGGAAGGGTGGAGGGATGAGCAGAAGAGGAAGACTCCCGATGAGATGGGTCTACAGTGAGTAGGGTAATGCGGGAGAAAGATGGGCATTCTCCTTCTGTGTGGTTAACTGCCTCTGAAAACCCACTGGAGGGTCAGCTATGGGTTGATTCTAACTCTACAGTACACAACAACAACAACAGGATAATAGGGGTAGATGTGTTGGAGTCAGTGAGACTGGCTCAGAACAAAGCAGGGTTCAGAGCTATTGTACTTATGGTCATTATGAGTTGCAGGCAACTCCATGGCATATGACAACACAACAAGAAATAGGACACCAGTAATAGCCCCACCAATAACTGTTGTAAGGGCATCATGTATAGTGTTTGCTTGACCTTGGTGAAATGTTTGAGTTTTTCATGATACACTTAAGAATTAAGCCTTCCCACTTTCCATAACAGTTTTGTTCCAAAACTGTGTATACACCAGTATTGATGAATACCAATTTTCAATGCATTGGTAAGTTATTGGTGGCACAAGTGAACACTTTGCCTCCATATCTCCCCACCCTCACTTGTTCTCTCTGTAACACACACACACACACACACACACACACACACACACACACACACACCCCTTCATTTTCCATTATCTCATCATACTGGTGATGACTAGTGCACAGAGAGACTTTGTCTCCTCACATTTTGAACTTACACAGCAGCCCCTGGGTTATGAATGAGATCAATTCCTAACTGTCTTTATGTAGAATTGGCAGATGACTTGGAACAGGCATAGACAGTTCTTACTTAGCCTTGGTTTAGTTCAAGGAAAGGCTCCAAGTTTTTCCCATGATTTAAAAGCTGTACATGAAGCCAGGGAAGGTGATTGTGATGAAGCATGTGTTGCGAGTGAGGTTGGTTGATTGGTTGGTTCAGTCATTCAGAGTGAAAGTAAAGGTACGTAACATTAAGGGGCAAGTGTGAGATGATTCATCCGATGTTCATAATGCAGGGTCTGCTGCTAGCCGTTTTCTGGTCCATCTAGCTGTGTGGTTTCATTCACCATAAGGAGAGTGTGCACCTTGAAGAACTCACTCTTGAAACCAACCACTGTGATAACCTGGGTGTTGCAGAATGGTCCCCTAGTCACTGGAGGCCTGGGTTAGTCCCTGTGAGGGAGCGGAGGCCTGTAGCAATGGGAGGCCGTGGTGTTTACCTGCTTTTCCTTTGCCTCCTTTCACCTTCTGGTCCAACTAGCCAAATACCTGGTGCCTTTCATCTCGTCTCCCTGCTTGGTGAAAGCCAGGCAGTTGTCCGTTCTTTGTTGGAGAACTCTTTCCCAGTGTTGGGATTTTGTTCCGTCCGCTTAGTCTGTGAACGTCCATATAGGTTGCACTTACTGCTTGTCTGGAGGTTTTTCGCAGAATTTATGATTTGGAGGATGGCAGGGGGCATGTTGGGCTTGTATTTGAGATGAAGAATGGACCAAGTTAATGCATGTCACATGGTTGGAGGGACCCCCAGACTGCTTTAACACACATCTGAGGGCCTCCTCTCCACCAGCTGCTGGACGCCTGCCTGTTGAAGCCAGCATTGTCCTGAGAGAAGTAGAACTATACTAACTGGTATTGCCTTCAGAGATTTCCAAAGTGGTCCTACTGGGAAATCCTCCATCTTGCACTTCTCAAACTTCCCTCCTGCTCTGGAGGTACCAGCTTCTTTGTGTTTGGGGAGAGTTTTTGCTTCTCCCCCCTTCCCTCCCCATTCCCCCACTCACCTTCTTTCAGTTCCTGGCCTGGGTGTGATCATTTCCCCCCAGGTAACAGTACACTATGAATATTCATCCACAGCTTTGAGAGGCTTTCCTGCTTCCCACCCACCCAGCCTGAAGTTTGGGACTTTGCACAAGCTGATCCTTGATCAGTCCTGATGCAGGAAAGCAGGCAGGCGTGGTGTACCAGTTTGTATAGTGTACCCTTGTGAACTGCCTACCCTGGAACAAAGCACTGGCTGCTTGCCACACACAAAGCCCATTAACTCGCATGCCAACAAATTCTCAAACAAATTAACCCTTAGAGTACTGCTTCGGGTTCTTCAGCATTTTGGTTTGATGGTCTAGAATCTTAGTAGTTGGGCTGCTTTGCCCAGATCAGAGTGCCGTACACAAAGTGCATATGGAGTCTAGCTGGAACATCGACCAGGATCCTCTTCTGCAAGCTTCCTTGAGATGCTCCTGGCTCCTTTATTTACTCGTCAGCTGGTTGCTTTGTGATGGCCCAAAGCAGAGCCTCTGTCTCAATTGAAGGGCAACAGGTTCCTTGTCCAGTGGGCCGGAGGGTGGGAAGGGGTGCATTTAGCTTTGGCATGTGTCCACTTAAAGAAAGAAGTCAGTTCTTTAAGGGTTAATATGAAATGAAGGAGTTGGGTGGCCTCTCCTGCTTGCCCTTCCTCCAAAGTGACTGCATGATCCTCTTTAGATTCTTAGTTTAACTGCTGAATGATGGTAAAAATTGTATGTATTCATCGCCTTATAGATGTAGAAAAACAAACCAACAACAGCAACAGAACAAAAGTCTGAATGGTTGAATGGAAAGACCCTTGGCCATGCTTGCTTGATTATCACAGGGGGGTGGAAAGAGCAAACGTTTTCTTTTCTCAACATTCATTGTTGGTCTCCACCCCAGCACCACCACTGCTCACCATTGTGGAAACCCTTGGTGCTACTTTTCATTTACCTCTCACTTTTTCTTCTTCCTGTCTAATAGCCCCATAGAATCCTGCCAGAATTTCTACAAAGATTTCACATTACAAATCGACATGGCTTTCAACGTGTTCTTCCTTCTCTACTTTGGCTTGCGGGTAAGTTTGAGCCACATGATTGGTGGTGTGATGAGGGCTCCTCAGCCGGCCTGGAGAGCTACTCTCCCAGCTCACACAAAGCCCCTGTGTTCTAGGAAAGGAAGTGCATCTGCATTCTGGTTTTCAGTCTGTGAGAGAAGCCTTTTCCTTGGTTCGGCATTTACTGAAATGCATGTGAATATTGCTTCAAGGATGAGAAATGGAGATTAAAATAACTCTTAATGTCCTCTACCAGACAGTTTCTCATCCTTCTGTTCAATCATAAATGCATTGTTCTTTTAAATATTAAATAAGGAAGGGGACTTCTGCTCTTATAATTATGTATATCAGTGCCCACTTAGCCAAGTACTAAAGAAGCAGTTATGAAAATGAAATCAGGGGATAGATTGGTATAATTTTAGGACTGAAATTGTATAGATCTCTTTTTAAGAGGAAACTATAAACTATGTAGAATGTAGATTATATATACGTGTGTGTGTGAGAGAGAGGAGATAAGATGTACATGTTTTATGTACAGTTGGAACTATGTAACAGAATCTAATACAAGTAAATCTCTCAGCTGTGGCTATGATGCTATTGGAAACCATATATGCTATTGGAAAAGTATAATGCCATACCTATCTTTAAGGCTAACAGAGCATAAATCCTGTTTCTAGAAAAGAATTTTAAGATAAAAATAGTATGTGATTGGTGTAGATATGAGATGAATGGCAATATCTTCCTCCAGACTCCTGTGAAAAGCCCAAACATACCCTTTGGCAAAGACTATAGATTTCCTATTGGCATTAGGCTTCTAATTTTTCTCCTACTTCTTTTTTCCTGTCCCTAGTTCATTGCAGCCAATGATAAGCTGTGGTTCTGGCTGGAAGTTAATTCTGTGGTGGATTTCTTCACGGTGCCTCCTGTGTTTGTGTCTGTGTACTTAAACAGGAGCTGGCTTGGTAAGTCAACATCTCTCCTGTTTCCAGTGTTAGGTCCTGGGCCGTGGCTGGAGTATGAAGTCTGGGATGGATCAAGGGAGTGGGCCCAGGAACAAAGATTTTGTGTGCTAAGGTGACCCGCTCTCCTGAAGTTTGTGAAGTTGATGATGACAGTTTTTGTTGTCACGCCTACCCACAAGTATTTGTCCAGGTAGTACTTCAGGTAATGCGGTCCTATCAGTATGGAAATCCAGGTGTTGTTGTCACCACTGGGACCAGCGTGCTCATGGTTCCGTCACTTTTCATTCAGGAACTGGGAGTCAAGACAGGACTAAGAAGCCTGTGGGGACAAGGCTGATTTTCCAAGTGGTTGGTTCAGGTGCCCTGGGAGGCCAGCCTGCCAAAGATAGCTTCTACCTGCTGCTTCAGTTTAGGAAAAATTGGCTTTTTGTGGTTTATTTATAGTAAGCAGAAGGGTGAGGCTTGCGGGACAACGAGCTGCTTCAACGTTAAGGGGAATACTTTACCTGGAGCTGTGCTGCCGTGTTACTCCCTGTCTCCACTTTGTACCAATTTAGAGAGAGAGAGTAACCTTCTGGGGATAGTCCTGGCAGCCAGGTGCTTCGAAGTTCACAGTAACAGACGATGGTCCCAGTACAGAGGTCCCTGCGAAGTTTCCTTTGCTAATGGTCCCATTCCCTCTGCTGTGTGCATTAATTTTTCCCCCCCAAAGTCACAGTATTACTCTTTCCATTTGACTTGTTGGGGAAGTAAGGTGGCTAACATAAGACTTGTTTACTGTTAGAAGTTTTTGGGATAAACTGATTTTTCCCCCCAAGTAATATATATGTATGATAGTCAGTATACACTCAGTAAAAACATTCCAAGGTAAAAAGGACAAAAATAATCTCCTTTTGCTGCATCCACTGCTGATGTTTTCCCAAGACTAATGCTAATAACCAGCCACCTTGTCCTCTAATGTCTGTCCATCCCCAGACAAACACAACTGTGCGTTTATAATGGTATTTTAGAAATGCTAGATTATAAAATATAAAAATATATTCATTCATATAATTAATATTCATTCATATAATATGCTTTTCACTGCAATTTGCTTTTATCTTCCTGTTATATGGCTATACTTTCAGCCCTTTAATTTCCTAAAAGTTACATAAAATTCCTTAATTTGTTCATAATGTTTGACCATGCTTTCTTTTCCCTTTTCTCTTAATATAAAAAACTATTTAATAAACATTTTCATTCATATAAAGAGTTCTGGTTGCTTTGTGTACTATATATTGGACTCTTAAGTAGAAAGTCAGTGGTTTGAATCTATCAGCACTACTAATTTATATTTCTCTGTATTCTAGCAGTTGAAATATATTTGTAGAGTTGCCAATAATTTTTTTAATAAATCATTGATTGTACAAAAGATTTGTACAAAAGATGTCAAGTGATCTCTGGCTTAGTTTTATTCATCTTTGACTTTGGTGGTTGGTATGTATATTATCACAGTGCTTTGGTAGTCTGTTGGTTAAGAAACTGCACTGCAATCCCAAAGGCATGTGGTTCATATCCACCAGCTGCTCCATGGGAGAAGGATGGGCAATTTTCTCCTGTGTGATTTACTGTCTATTTCACCCACCCTTCACCTTTCCAAGCATAATGTTCCTCTCTAAGGAACAGCCTATCTCCTATAAACATGCCCAAAGTATGTGAGGTGAAACTTTATCATCTTTGCCTCTAAGGAGCATTTTGGCTGTACTTTCTTCAAGATATGTCTGGTTTTGTTCTTTTGGCAGTCCATGGGATGTTCAGTACTCTTTTCTAACACCAAAATTCAAAGGCATCAATTCTTCTATTATCATTATTTATTATCCAGCTCTCAGCAGAATATCAAGTGATTGAAAAGACCTGAATACATTGTACCTTAGTTCTCCGACTAACATTGTTGATGCTCTCAGTAATTCGGAGAGCTCCCTGACTGAAGACTTTCCCCGTACAATATGTCTCCTGATATCCTGAATGTTTTGATTGTATATCCATGTAAGATGAATTTGTTGACAGTTATCATGATGTTGTCTATAGGTCCAGTGGTGAGAATTCTTTGGTTTTTTGATGCAATTCTTATTTTATCTTCTGCAGCAAGTGCTTCAAGTCTTCCTACTTTAGGCAAACTTGGTTGTGTCATATTCAAAACAAAGGTTATTGACCAGTCTTCCTCCAATCCTGATATCAGATTCTTCTTCATAGAATCCAGCTTCTTGAATAATTTGCTTAGCATACAGATTAAATAAGAATGGAGAAAAGACACAACTTGACACAGACCTTTTTTAATTTTAAACCATGTGTTCTGTTCACACTGTATCCTCTTGGTCTAGATATAGATTTTACATGAGCACAATCAAGTATTCTGGGACTCCCATTCTTCTCAATGGTAACTGTAATTTGTTGTGATCCACACAGTCAAATGACTGCATAGTCAATAAAGCACAAATAGACAATCTTCTGGCATTCTTTGCTTTTAGCCAGGATCCATCTGACATCCACAGTTATATCCCCGGTGCCACAGCCTCTTTTAAATCAAGTTATATTTAAAAATAATAAATCTAGTTATCTGTCTATATACTGTTGTAGCTGAATGGGATGATCTTCAGCAGTATTTTGCTTGCATGTGCTATTAATGCTATTGTTTGATAATTTTCACATGTTATTGTATCACCTTTCTTGGGAATGGGAATGAATAAAGATCTCTTCCAGGGATTAATTCGCTAGATAGCTATCTTCAAAATTTCCTGTCATAGATTGATGAGCATATCCAGGCCTGCATTTGTCATTTTAAGCATGTTAATTTATATCCCAACTATTGTTGAGACCTTTCTTTTTATTTTGCCAATACCTTCAGTACACCTTCTTCCTTTGTTACCATTGGCTCTTAATTATATGGTCTTCCTGAAATATTTCACATCTGGCAGACTAGTAAGCAGGATTGGCCATCTACTTCTGAAATAGCAGGCCTCTGAAAACACTGTGAACAATAGAAGCACATGGATAATTACAGTATTAGAGGTAGGGTCCGGATGACAGTCAATCAAAATGAGAAGAAGAGCTGTAAACAAACTTTGATAATTGGAACATGGAATGTACAAAGTACGAATGTTGGAAGACTAGAAGTTCTATAAAATTGAATGGAACACAGGAATATCAACATTCTAGGTATTAGTGAGATGAGATGATTGGCTGCTTTGAATCAAATAATCAATTGGTATACTATGCTGGGAATAAAAAACAGAGGAAGAATCATGTTGGGTTCATAATTAAAAAGGCAATTTCAAGTTATATCTTGTAAACCAATGTTTTGATTGTCATACACTGGCATAGTGAACCATATAATTATTTAATTCAAAATGGCTAATGCCAACCCTTTTCAGGTCACTAATGATTAGGATATCAACTTTTCTACTTTTCTGTTCTGCCACCCTTCATCTGTCAATTTGCTGTGCTCTGGTGGCTTGTCTATTGCTGTAATGTTGGAAGTTATGCCACCAGTATTGCAACATACCATTAAGATCACCCAAGGTGGACAGGTCTCAGCAGATCTCCCAGACTAAGACAGGCTAAGACGAAGGACTTGCCATCTGCTCCTGAAACAGCAGGCCTTTGAAAACCTTATGGGTAATGAAGGAAGATTATTGAATCCAGCGCTGGAAGATGATCCATTCAGGTTACGACGGGGAGGAGCTGCTCCCTCAAAGTGGAGTCTACTGTAATGGTGCAGATGGAGTGGAGTTTTCACCCAGTGAAGAACCTTCATTTGCTAATGTGGCAAGACTCAAAATGAGGAGAAACAGTGGCAGTCATCCATTAAAAATTGTAATATGTAATATACGTAGGAAGAATCTTGTAAAGTTTGGGAGTGGTCAAAAATGAAATGGAATGAGTAAAGATAAACATCTTAGACATTAGTCAGTTAGAAATGGATTGGTATTGTCTATTTTAAATCAGACACTAATAAAACTTACTATGTTGGGAATGACAAAGTCATATACTGGGAAAATTAATGGTGTAAAATTCATCATCAAAAAGAGCATTTCAAGAGCCATTCTGCTGTAAAATGCTGTGAATGATACAGGATAATGTTCACATGCATACAAAGAAGAACTGTCAATAACTATTATTTGAATGTGTACACGTGAAAGCCAAAAAGGAAGAAATTAAGGATTTCTATAAATGTTTGTTTTATAAAATTGATAGGACATGCAATCAAGATGCACCAATAATAATTCATGACTGGAATACAAAAGTTAAAAACAAAGAAGAAGGAATTATAACTGGAAAATGTGTCTTGGTGACAGAAATAAGACTGGAGATCAAATGATTAGAATTTTGTATAATCAGTGATTTTTCCATTCAGAGTTTCTTTTAAAAAAAACCCAGCAACCCAGAAATAGACATGGACCTCAACTAATGGACCACACAGGAATCAGATTGACTTATCTGTATAAAGAGCCAATGAAAAAGCGCAATATGTGCAGTCAAAATAAGGCCAGCAGCTGACTTTGGAACAGGCCATCAACTACTCATATGCAAATGTGTACTGAACATAAAGAAAAGAAAACAAGTCTGCAAGAACCAAAATGCACCACCAAGCCATTTCCAGTTAATTAACAGCCCTTTAAAGAAGAGATTTTATGCACTAAACACTAATATAGAAGACCATATGAGTTTGAGGATGGCATCAAGGACATCACTCATGAAGGAAGCAAGAGGTTATTACAAAGTTAACAAAGAAAGAAAAGGCCCAAATGGACGTCAGCAGAGACTCAGAAACCTGCACTTGAGTGAAAAGAAGTCAAAACAAGGGGAAGGAATGCTGAGGTAAGAGAGTTGAACAAAAGATTTCAGAGGACAATTTAAGAAGACAAAGCAAAGTATTATAATGAAACATACAAACATCTTGAGTTAGAAAATCAAATGCAAAGAATATATTTGACATTTTTCTACCTGAAGGAACGGTATAA